AATTGTATAGGGTCTCCTGCTTGAGCAGGGGGCTGGACTAGAAGACCTCTGAGGTCCTTTCCAACTCGGATGATGTTCTGTGTTCTATGTTTTGTTAGTTAACCACCCAGAGTGGCTGGGAATCAGGCAGCATACAAATTTAATAAATTATGATTATGGTTGTTTGTACAAGCCAACCCAATGTTTAGACTGGATTTGGCAGTTTGGTCCATCTATCCCCAGGGGTGTCAAACTGCCGGCCCACGGGCCGGATGCATCCTAGTGAAACCGCGCCCACCCCATTGCCGGCAATGAAAAAAAAAGTTGCGAGCGAGTTTGACACCCCTGATCTATCCAGTCCTTCCCAAAGACCTCAGACAGGTAGATGTTGCTCCTTGGTGATGTTCAAGGTCTGGTTGCAGGATGTAAGCCATTCCAAGTAAAACTGCCTTTTGCAATTGACTTATAGGGATTGTGTCAATGTCGATGGGGGTCCAAATATTGTGGCTCCATTGCATACTCAGGCAGATGCTTAGACCTGGGACAGGCAAATGCTGATTGACGGAGGAGAAAGAGGGGGGAAAGACACACAGAGAGAGAGAGGAGAGGGGGAGGAGAGAGAGAGAAAGATGAGAGAAAGACAGGGAGGAGAGAGAGAGAAGAGAGAAGGAGAGAGGAGAGGGAGAGAGACACGAGAGAGAGCAGAGAGAGGAGAGAGAGAGGAGAGGGAGAGAGACACGAAAGAAAGAGCAGAGAGAGGAGAGAGGAGAGAAAGAGGAGAGGGAGACGAGAGAAAGAGACAGACAGAGAGAGAGAGAGAGAGAGGAGAGAGGGAGGAGAGAGAGAAAAAGATGAGAGAAAGAGACAGAGAGAGGAGAGAGAGAGGAGAGGGAGAGAGACACGAAAGAAAGAGCAGAGAGAGGAGAGAGGAGAGAAAGAGGAGAGGGAGACAAGAGAAAGAGACACACAGAGAGAGAGAGAGAGGGAGGAGAGAGAGAGAAAGATGAGAGAAAGAGACAGAGAGAGGAGAGGGAGAGAGAGAGGAGAGGGAGAGAGACATGAGAGAAAGAGCAGAGAGAGAGGAGAGGGAGAAGGAGATGAGAGAAAGAGACAGAGAGAGAGAGAGAGGAGAGAGAGAAGAGAGAGGAGAGAAAGAGAGGGAGAGCAGAGAGCCAGAGAAAGAGCCATAAATACATTTATATTGGGAGGGGTAATTAGGCAGCCCTGGCTAAGCAGCATGAAGCAAGCCTCCAAGGAGATTAGCTGCCTTTGCATACAATTAACCCTTCTTTTAAGGAAAGCCATTCTTTTGATGTGTCCCCAACGCATTTGGCAAGGGAAGGCGTTTTAGCTTAATCTGGAGCTTTTTGCTTAATGGTTGGAGATTGGCTGCTTTTCCTCCTTAATTAAAATAGTTAAATAATTAAAATTAAAAATTTGAAAGAGCCGGGTGCACTGCTTTGGTGCCTGAGTAGCAGAGAGCATGCACAAAGGGCTTCCCCAAAGAGGAGGAGGATCCGAAACGTATCTTGGCCTTAAGGTAGGTGCTGCTTATGGATACATTTACTTAATCGCCCTACCGGACCCCAATTTTTAATGGCCCAAGAATCCCGTTGGGCTTTTCTATAAACAAATGCCAATTCAAAATCACCTGGACGCCGGGATGCCACTGGTGCTGCTGTTTCCAAGAAATGTGGAATAACCAGAATAACAGAGTAGGAAGGGTCCTTGGAGGTCTTCTAGTCCAACCCTTTGCTCAAGACCCAATCCCATTGCATCTCTGAGCTTGGCGGTTTTCTTGCAGATGTTTCACGACCCAACTAGGGAACATCATCAGTGCTAGAAGGGGGTTTGTGGAATGATGGAGGAGGAGGAGGAGGACGGTGGGGTCCTTGGTGCTTCTCTGAGCTTGGTGATTTTCTTGCAGATGTTTCATTACCAAACTAGATAACATCATCAGTGCTAGAAGGGAGTGGGGTTTGCAGAGAGGAGGAGGAGGAGGAGGAGGAGGAGGAGGAGGAGGAGGA